TTAGAGTGATCAAAACATTGAAGATTAATTTTGATATTATACCTTAAATAGATAGGCTTATAACTTATAAGAGTGTTCAAAATCGGATACATGCATTTTCAAGTACATGAAGTACCAAATACCCAATTCATCGGGTAGTATATTTGTCGAATCGTGACCTAACCCATCAAGTTTGAGTATTCGGTAGTCGTGTATCTGTGTAAAATATGGGTACTCTCATTTTCATGTCACGAGTACCTAATTCATATATATATATATATATATATTATATTTTTTAATTTAATTTTAAAAAATCACATAGAAAATACATACAAGTTTAAAAGTTCATAATATACAACCCACCCACAAAAATTAGTCATTTGAAGTTAGTTTTAATGACAAATAATATATATATATATTAAAGTTTATTTTCGAAAGAAAACATTAAAAATATCAATATCAATCGTGTTTTTAAACTCATAATGATAAATTAATAAAAACTTCTTTAAAAGTTTAAAAAATTTTAAAAATAAAAGTACATAATACAAATCTAAGAAAAAAAATAGATATTAATTTAATTTTAAGGTAAATATTTGAAATCTAAAATAAAAATATAATTTAAACTATATATATTTATACATTAAAACTACTCGGTCGAATCGAGTACCCGGTTATAAAAATTTGGTCCAAACCCAATCTAACTACTAAAAAAAAGTTACGGATCAGATACCCGGCTCGATCGAATAATTTTTTTAGAAAATTAACTATTTTTTAGGTTTGGATCGATATATCGAATCAATCAAATCGAATATTTTTAAATACCCCTACTTATAAGCGAATATATTTGTAAACATGATAAAACTAAACAAATAGATCTATTTAAAATCATTTTATTTAATTACAATTATAATTATAGTTATATAAGATCCATAATAATAATATCCTCATAACATCAAATATATAAACATCCTGTAAGACTAGTGAAAACAAGGAAATTTACACATCCCGTAAGATAATAAAGTTCCTTGTTGCCGTGCTTTGCTCGTACACTCCAAACTCCAAAGGCAATTCTTTATAGTAAAAGAGGCGTTGTAACTAGCTAGTATGGTGGTGGATGAGGGCGAGTCCAATGCGGCGCTGGTCTATACGGATCGAAGTAGGGCGGCGGCGGAGGTCCAGGAGGTGGTGAAAAAGCATGAGGCGGTGGACCTGATTGGTGGTTGTGATGTGGTGGTGGTGGAGGAGGAGGTGGTGGCGGTGGACCTGATTGGTGGTTGTGATGTGGTGGTGGTGGAGGAGGAGGAGGTGGTGGCGGAGGCGCACCATATAACAGTGGTAGATCCAGAAATTTAAGAATGGAGTCCAAAACTTTAATTTTTTTTAAATAATGAGTATGCAAAAATTGTAATTTTTTTTTCTTAACCCATTAAGTTAAATTTAATTATTTTTTAAAAATAATGAGGATGCACTTGGCCCCTATGAGACTTAGTGTATCCGCCGCTGTCATATAAGTGTGGTGGTGGCGGTGGTGGCGCAAAAGGGTCTTGTGGTGGTGGGTGCCTGCGAAACGCCATTACGTTTGGAAAAAAAGGGAATTGATTGTGTTATAAATAGAAACAGGAAAGGAGAGGGTAATTACTTTATATGAGACTGTCAGTTGGATGACTGACGGCTTAGAACGTGGTATTTTTCTTCTTGTCTAGGAAAAGTCAGTTCGAACCGAATTGGGTTGTGGGTTTTAAGTTTAATGCATAAATAAGTGTCCAAGTTAGACCATTGTGTTAAATAAGTATTTACAATTTTTTCATCTAAATGTCTAACGTTACAAACATTCGTACTTTAGGTGTCTGGGTTGTCAATGACGTTAGTTTTCTCTATTAAGTAACACATGTCACAACTCAGTATTTTTAAAATTTTTATATAAACTGTCAAAAAAAATAAAATTATATATATATTTTTTTAGAAAGAAAACACAAATTTTGAAATAATTCCAAAACTTTGAAAACTTTCATTTCAACCTCTAAACAAATGTCGACCGCCGCCCTTTGTCGTTAAAGAATCTCCAGCCGACCTCCCCTCCCCCAACGACCAAAACTCCTATCAAATCGTGACCTGTTGACGACCTATTGACGACAAATCAACGTTTTGAATCCCACGAACCCTATAATGAAAATCACAATCCCAAGCGATTCTGATGGTGAATCGGCAACAACTACTGTGGCATATAACTAGGATGATGACAAGGACTACGACGGCGACGGTGGTCGTGACCGGAGAGGGCGGTGACAGCGGAGTAAAGTTAGGATTTGAGATTTTGGGGTTGTTTTATAATATAAAGTTAGGGTTGTTTTTATAAATATAATAATATTTTTAATATTGTTTAAAAAATAAATTTCAAAATGATCAGATGTGACAAGTGTCATTTAAAGGGAGAACCTAACGTCGTTGATAACTCATGCACCTAAAGTGCTAACATTTGTAACGTTAGATACCCGAATGGACAAAAAAATGTAAGCACTTATTTAGTCCAAAATGTATAATTTGAGCACTTATTTGGACATTAAATCTTTTTTATGAATAAAGTAGGACGGAGTTTGAATTTGAGTTTAAATTTAAAAATAATTATAATAATATTTATCTTTTTATAATTTTTAAGTATATCTTTACTTTATGAATTATATATATATTCGTGTCATATCATATTATATAGGATGCGGGTGTAGGTTTTTATCTCAAAATTTTGTCAGATGAAGCCTCTCTCACAAGTGGAGGGAGTAGAATATTTAAGTCGAGTTAAAGTCCATCAAAAATCTAAACTGACATGATCTGAGTCATATTCATCCCTATTTATTAGTTTCATTAAAGAATTAAATAATTTGAAGGGTAAACTACATATTTTGTCACTCACCTATTATTGTTTTAGTCACTTGTAGTTAAAAAATTAACGGTGATATTGATGTGTTACCATAAGATAATATCATGTCAAGACCGAAAAATGATTAAGAAAATGTTATGTCAGCATCACTATTAATTTTTTAACGGCGGATGATCAAAACATAACTAGAACGTAATGTTAAATATGATTCTAAAAAATAAGTGGATGACCAAAATAGAAACTAAATAATAGGTGTATGACCAAAAATAAAAACTAAATAATAGGTGGATGATCAAATAAGTAATTTATCCTGATTTAAATTAGATAAATACAATTCGTTTGACGAAATTTTGAACAATGTGATTTTTTCTTTAATTTGAATTAAACTAAATTAAAATGTGAATGATACAATTAACGTTTTCATTTAAATTTAATTATAAAATAAAAAATAATATACCATTTTTAATTTTTTATTATTTGAATTATGTTTTAACCTGATTAAATTATGAGGGAAACTTAACGAAGTGATATCATCACTGATCTTCATAAAAACGATGACATAAGTCTAAATCTTTAAAAATATATAGAGAGTTAATTGCATCATAGTCCTCAAACTATGGTTCTCATTTTAAATTGGTCCCCTAAACTTTTAAATGTCCTAATTTAGGTTAATAAAATAGTTATGCCAAGTTATATTATTATATGCTTGAAAAAAAATTAGGCTAAACTATGGTCGAAATGGATTACATATTTGGATGAATTTGGGGATAAAATTGAAAGATTTAAAAGGTTAGGGACCAATTTAAAATGCGATTCATAATTTGGGGATGAAATTAGAATGTTCAAGTTTAATGATCAATTAGAAGGTGTATCATAGTTTGGGGATATATGATGCAATTAACTCATATATTTATTGAAATTTGAAAGGATCTTATTTTCAATATTGTCGACTCGATAAAAGTAAACTCAAGTCTAAATTTGGGGTGACCTAAGCACCCCCTAGATGAACTCTAAAATGTGGTTAATTACACTAAAAGGACAACATGATTGGACCCACTTATTAGCACTACCTTACGTCTAAAATTGCCCTGCCCAAATGCTGATGTCGATCAATAAGCTTCTTTTTGGATGCTCTAAAATTCTGGTTTGAAAACATCAAATCAAAAGAAAAAGCAGTGATTACATAAATCTGGTCTTACATTATCTCAAACTGATTGCCCTTATCACTTGCCCTAAACGGACATCTTCAATATTATTGACCTTAACTTGCCCTACATTTTGTACAAATGGTCTTCATTATCTCTCCTAATCCTTCATGTTCTACTTATTTGTCTAGGAGGGGCTTAAAGTTTCCTATCTAACACTTAAGATTTTTCGTTCGCTGTCTTTTGATCACCTTTTCCGATCTCTGACTGATTTAGGTTCTCGAGTATGTATAGATATTCACGATGGGTTTTGTTTAGTTTGCTATCAAGGAAAGATATTGTTATTGGGTTCCGGCTCAAACACTAAGAATGTTAGAGGTATGAGCGTTCAATGTCAAATGGTTGAGAGTTGTCTTTGAATATATATTATCTTGTACTTATTCCAGATTAATAATAATAATAATAATAAAACTACATACTTGCATGCACCATTAAAGTTTCTTAAGTACCTAGGTTTGACTTTAATTTTATGTAAATTGTAAAAAAAAATCAGCTGACTCTTATTCCCATATGTAATGGGATAAGGGGAGGTAGGATAGTAGGCTGCCCCCAACGTCAGGTTGAGAGCAGTTTCCGTAGGAAACCTCCGAATTATGAAATGCCCTCCGTAAGACTCGATCCCACAACCCCAAGGTTAAGAGACTTGTGCTCTACTAACTGAGTTGGATGGTCATTTCTTTATGTAAATTGTAGTTATCTTTAAACTTTATCACGTGTGAATCATCTTTAAATATATTTGAATTATTAATTCATTATACCTTTAACAAGATGCATGTACTATAATTGTGGAGGCATAGGTAAACGAAGATATTCAAGATAGTGTAAGATGGACTTTTATAGCCCACGCTTTAAGAATATTTTACATTTTAACCGTGTAAGGTTATAAAACAAATTAAAATGAAATCAGCATGAGTTGAATAGTCATTACACACGATAAAATACTATAAAATCGAATCGAATAATTATTACCTTAGGTATCGTAATAAACACGACACAATCGAAAATACATCTACAAACTACGAGTTCATAACCTTAAAGACAAGTCGAGGTGGCTAAACTCGTCTTGGACGTCTTCAGTTCGGTACCCCATGGACCAAGAACCGATCCCTTCTCTAGGACCTCCGAAAAACCTACCGGCTCGACCGTGTTGCTCGAAAGACGTCACTGACATCTGCATACGTTGAGAATGGCTCGAACGTTCAAGACCGGACGACTCTGGATAGTTCGAACTCGATCCCCCGTGAACTCGAACCGACGAGCTTAGCTCTCGGCTTTTCTTAGCAAGAGTTCGTTCGAGCTTGTGAGCATTTTGATGCCCACCGAGCGCCTGTGAACTAAAGAACTTCCTCTGGCAATAGTTACAAGGGAAGACCTTCAGTTCGGTCGGACTATTTGACGATGAAGAAGACGACAACGACGACGGCTCGAGAACGAGGTCTAGGTTAAGTTGATCGTTGGGGAGGCTTAAACGAAGTGAAGTATTAGGATGATAATCCATAAGATAAGCTATCCTCGAGCTAATTTTAATGGCGGAGAAAGAAGGAGAGTGGTGGTAGTAGGGCAAAATGATGAAAGAAGATGAAGTGGTTTGAGAGAGATGGGAGTGTTGTTATAAGAGGAATGAAAAGGTTTCACTGTTGGTGGTGCAACTAGAAATAGTGAGTTGAGTGAGAAAAAAAGAGAGATGGACCCAGTGAGTTACTGAGTGAGAAAGAGAGTTGAGTTTATGTGCAGATATCTATGGAGGAATCAAAGTGTTGTCGCCTCCATTAACGGCAGCATTCTAATCTTTTGTCGGTCCAGGGAAATCATTTTCATGTTTATTTATTTATTTCATTCCTCAAAATACATGTATCTGTGTGGTGTTATTTGTGTATTTAATTATATTCAAAGGTCGAGTTTATCGATTGACCTATGCGGACAGGGATGAAATTAAAAAAAAAACATATAGGGGAGTCGAAGTTGAATTCAAGTATAATTTTAATATCTTATAAATTTATGGTTTCAAAAGGGAACAAATCATAAAATCATTATTTTTGGGACTAGACTATAATGTTTTCATTATACTAATTCAAAATGTTACATATCCTGAAGAAATTCAAAACAATGTTAGTGTTTATGCGTATATATGACATTAGGAATAGAAATTTGATAAGATTTGATTTGGTTCGATAAGGTTAATTTAAAAAGTTTGAGTCAGATTGAGTTGAATTTTGTAAATATAGAGTCTTGGCATCCAAATTTTTGGAAAATTTGTGTTATACTTGGAAACATGCATCGTTCGGGTCGGATTGAGGTTTTGACCTACCCGAATCTGACTCGACTCAAGTTTAGAGAGGCTTCATTCGATATGAAATCAACCCAATTTTTAGATAAAAACCCATACTCAACTTGAAGCAAATATATATAATTATAGTTCTTATTCGGTAAAATAGAGGCATAACAAAAAATCTACATAGAGGAATATTATTGCAAGTATCCTTAAATATATAAGGGATACTTGTACTATTAACCCGTGTAAGAGATTTTTTACTTTAAACCTAAATAGATCCGACCTGACCTCATCCTAAAAAACGAGAGATACTCAATCTAAGTTCAAACTTGGTTTTTTTTTTTAAAATCGATCCGATAAAATAAAGTCAAATAAAAAAATTGTTAAGTCTGTCTCTTACACCCATCCCTAATTATACCTCAAAAATATATTGCAAATTCTACTTAAGCTTTTCTAATTGGGAAAAAAACTCACGGAGTATTAAATTTCTAAATATTTTAATTACGTCCCTTAAAATTATTAAAACTTTTCATTGAATCTCTAAAAAAATTAAAAAATTACATACTAACATTTCTTTTAAATACTAACGTGCCAACATGAAAACACACACATCTGCTTGACATATCCTAAGCTGCACTGAAATAGCCGTACAAGATTAGACAATTATCATAATTGCCCCACTCATCCCCATGAACCTAACCCAGTCTTTGCCCATTGGTGCAATGTTCCTTGATCCATTTAACATCTTCTTCTTCTTCTTTTTTATCAAAATCCCCCCATCGAATCTTACATTGTTCCTTTTTTAGTACCTTAAAATTGAGACTACTTGATCACATGGTGTGTGTGGGATTTAAGAGTTCAATTATACTGTGGGAAAATCATTCAATTCAAATAAGCTCATTAAAAATTAAAGGGTAAATTACACGGTTAAGATTCTCTCTCTTATTTCACTCATAATATTTTTAATTTTTTCAATTTGCTCACTGAACTTTAGACTTTGAACTTTTTTTGTCACTCGACCGTTAAATTTCTAACGGTGTTATGACATTGCTATATTAATTGGAAAAAAAATTAAAAGTATATTTATCATTTTAATTATAAGTCTTATGTGGCATATTTTATTATTAAAATAAGTCACATGAGAAATGTTTTTAAAACCAGACTGGACCTTAAACCGGTGAAGGTACTGATTCACTGGTTCAATCGGGTTAAACCGAGGTTGAACTGGTTTATATAAAATAATATATTTTTAAAAAAATTTACATAATATTCAAAGCAATATATCTATAACTCTTTTTAAGTTCACAATATTAAAAGTTATAAAAATATCACAAGTCATAAAATATATAAGTTAAATACCATAATATCAAGTGAAACAAAATGATTTAAATAAACTACACCATACTATTTGGGGCCGAAAAAATCAAAAAATAAATTTTGGGCTGAAAAAAATCATAACAAACAACATCGTTTGGTTTAATTTTTTTTAAAAAAACATAACCGTGTGAACTGGTTTAACCGCCGATTCACACTGGTTTTGCCGGTTTCCAGCCGATTCTACCAGTTCTTTAGCGGTTCATTGCAAAACTGGTTTTGGAGGCTGACCGGACATGCAACTGGTTCCCGGTTCAACCGGTCGAACCGGCCAGTCCAGTCCAGCTTTGATAACATTGCACATGAGCACCCCATTACTGAGTAAACGGTCGAGTGACAAAAAAAGTTCAATGTCTAAAGTTTAGTGAGCAAATTGAAAAAATTGAAAGTAAGGTGAGTGAAATAGGAGAGAGAGTAAAGTTCAGTGAATAAGTGTGCAATTTACCCAAAATTAAATGATAAAGTATATTGGAGGTTGCTGAACTATGTTATATTCTTTTTTATCAATAAACTTTAAAATGTTACAAAATAATCATTAGATTTATTGAATTGTAGCAAAATGATTCATATTATGTTATAAATAGTTATCCATTTTGATAAGTTCAATGACGATTTTATAATCGTTTGATCAATTTAATGACCATATTGTATTTTTTTTTTGTAAAATTTAAAAGTTCACTGGTTAAAAAGATTATTTTAACGTAGTTAAGTGACCTCTAGTGTATTTTATTCGAAAATATATTAATTTATCAAACTTTTATTTATTAATGTGTTTATTAATTAGGGTTTGATTGTTGTGGGAGCATAATCTTGCAGGTCGGCTATGATTGCACTGACCCTTTGTCTATTAATCTCCACTCTAAGGAACATTAATTCTCTTCATAATTGTTTAAATTGTTCCAAATAAATAAATACAATAATGTGAAATATATTAGATATTATCAAATTAGATCCAAATTATTATTTTAATGATCGAACTTTTAAAAATTATAAATAATCATTAAATTTATTTGATTGTTACTAGTTATAATTAACATTATAAACATAATAAAGGAATAATATAACAACATTATAAATAAAAATATGTTAATTACGATATAGAATTATATTTTTAATATTTTTATCATTTACTTTTAAATAAATAGTAATAATAAAGTTGTTGTTATAGTTTAATTTTAAAGGGAGTTGAAGGGTTCTAGGTCTAGATTTGTTGAGTTTCGAATATTTTGTGTGTGAAACAAACACTAAAGTCATATTCAGAGCGTTAAAAAGGAGTGAATTGTAAATTTTAAGGTCTAACAGTCGACTGCGAAGGCGACCGATGTCGATCGACGGTAATCGACAGTTACGTTGATGAGTGGTAACGATGATGAGAGACTTTGGTTGAATTCAGGAATCAATTACATATTTTATCTAAAATTTAGAGGTTAAAATGATGCTTCATCTAAAGTGCATGGTCTAACTAATATTCTATATGAAGTTCAAAAGGTAAAACTAAAATTAACCTCTTTCGACAAATGTGTCACATTATCAAACAATTGAGAGTTAACGGTTTAGTAATCAAAATATAACAATCCATAACATAAATGATCAGATTTCAGTAAATTAGTAATGTAAGCAACCAAAATTCAACGAATCAATAACACAAATGACTAAAACTTGAATTTTTTAAACTACATAAACTAAAGTGTACAAATATAAAAGAAAAATACCAGTCTAATAGTTTACCCCTTTTATTGTTTTCATGATTTTTTTTTGAATTAATCACCGGTATTCGATCTATTAACCGACTAATCCAGATCAGGTACTACAGAGGCCATGGTTTGAACCCTTGGCCTTGCTTAAAAACCCTAATGTCTCGTCCAACTAAACCAACATGTTGTCGGTTGTTTTCATGATTGATTATTGGTCATTACCTGTTATAATACTCAGTATTTTTATTTTTAATAAAACACGATATATAAAATTGTAAGGATTTCATTTAAAGCGGTGAGTAATGAAGTTGATGATTTGCAAATTTCATGCAAGGAACTGTGGGAGGGTTTACGATTAGGGTGTCATTTAAACCCACTTTTGCCCTGCATGCACTTTGTGCTCCTATTTCTTGTGTGTTTTCTCTGTCTCAGGTTTGGATGCATTAACCATATATCACTATTTGCCTACAACAAAATACATGCCCTTTTCAACTCCAATTTCTTTTATGATCTTTTATATCGAATATGTTCGGTTTTCCATGCTAATAAATAAACATATTATCGATATGAGATATCTAAATTATAATGAGAATTTAATTTTTTTTAAGGGAAACAACCGTCTCTGTCCGCCTTCTCCGTTTCATCTCTGCTTATAAAATATTTTTTTTGAATCAATAAATGCCACCACGTTAATTAAACTTTAAAAACATAACTCAGAGTACAACCCCGAAAAACAAAGGTTAAGGAAAACTACTGTAAAAACACACACCACAAAAAGCTAAAACAACAAAAAAGAAATAAAAACAAAAGAAATCCAAAAGACAAAGTTGACCTTCTCTTTCCTTGTTCTCTCCAAGTCTTCGATGAACGCTCTAATAAGGAAGTTGTGATAGAAAATGGAACCTGAAGATTCACGAACCACCTCAAGCACTGAAACTTCAAGGAGGATCGAGCCACCGCCGATCTTCAGCTTCTTGAAGTTTCATTGCCAAAGGAGCTTCTTCCACCCAGTATATGTCGGTGGAACCCAAATCCGACTGGGAAGCTAGAAGATGAGTAGCAACATTTCCTGCCCTGGGAGTGAATGAAAAACGACATGCGTGAAACGACATATATCTTTGGCGAGCTTCCCAAGTGTAAGAGCTTATTTCCAAACGATCCAAGCCCATTGAAGTTAATTTTCTGATAACCGTTCGAGAATCGCCTTCAACAATCACATCCGAAAAACCCATGTCCACAGCGAGTTCCACTGCGTGTACTGTCGCCATTGCCTC